AGATAGATAGATAGATAGATAGATAGATAGATAGATAGATAGATAGATAGATAGATAGATAGATAGATAGATAGATAGATAGATAGGTAGCACATCTGATGCTATCTATTTTATCAAGTCTTTACTGAGAGAATCTATTCTAGTCATCAAAGGGAAGTGTAGACCTAGAGTTATCAAACACACCAAGATATTTATTTTTCATAAAAAATACTAGGACATATTTTAGGTCATGCTTCTATTTTACATTTCCATCTGTCACACAATGACACCAAGCAAACACTTGTCATAAGGTGGTGGTGAATATGTCATAAGCAATGTAATTACACCTGCAGGAGAAGTGGGTTGAGAAAAGCACCTGATGGGTGTGGTGTTTGTGCGGTGCTCACTTCCATGTCAGGTGTGTTTGACTTCACTCCAACAGTTATTTGGATAGTCTGCTGATCTTCGTAACTGAATACTAGCAGTAAGATTCTGGCTAAACTTTAAAACACAAGGTCAATTTCTACACAAGGTGTAGTGCTGGTCCATTGTGCCATGGCCAGGACCGGAACCACACTATCCCTCCTGAAGCTGGGGTTCGACAATCAGGTGGATTTTCCTCTCCAGCACCCAGGACCCTTTCCACAGAGGCTGAGAAGTGTGATATCCCTGCAGTTGGAACACATCGTACTGACACCCCAGTCTGCCAGTCCAGGGGCATTGTCCCAGATTGCCACTCAGCATTGAATAGGTCTGTAAACTGGGAATTACAGCCTAATAACATCCATAACATACCTGAGATACTCTGGGCGGATCTCATCCACAACCAAAACCTTACCACCATGGAGTTTTTTGACCACCTTGGAGACTTCAGCCTGGTTGCAGAATGAGTCTGGCTGAGGAACCCCGCTCATTCCTACAAATCTTTAATTGGATTTATGTCTGGGCTTTGACTGGTTCCTAACTATTGAATGAATCATAAAACCCTCAGTGAAGTACCTTCAAGTTTGTAGTCTTAATGTGATAATCTATAAAGGACATTATAGTTTTGTAAATCAGTGCAGATTGTTATCCGTTATAGGGAAGATTCATTAGTACGTCTGAAAGATTTGAAATATAAGTAAAGCCGGTATCAGTATTTCAAGCCAAACTTATGTCTGCAGGTGGAGGATGTGAGTTCTGAAGCTCGCAGACTGAGTCGCTGTTTGTCCCAGGCATCATTTCCATCAGAACCCAGCCAAGGAGAGCGTGACATAGGAGAGCATGAAACCAGTAGGAAGGTAATAGATACAGGAAAAAAATAACATTTCATTCTTAATCTTTTTAAGATCCGTCTCTACACTGAAACATGTTCCTTCATAAGAAGGGTCGTATTTTGCACATTATCTGAAATTATTTTATTGGTTTGGTCCCTTTTTAAAGTCCTTATGTACAATTGGTAGGATGCCAGGCAGAAACATAACTTGTTTGGGATCAGATGCCTCCGCTTCTCCTCCCAACTTTTTTTGTGCCGTGAAGAGATTGCATAATGTTAAAACATCCTCTATTGCACATGTGTCAAAGTCAAGGCCTGTGGGCCAGATCTGGCCCACGAATTGTTTATCCATGGGCCCCTGGATGATATTTAATTACCATTAGAACCATGGCCACTTTTGCCGCAGCTGTGACTTTGCAGGCTACCGTTGCATTGCATTGCGTGAAACACCGCACCAACACTACATTCCCAGGGGAAAACAAGATTGTGACCGCTTTTCAGACCGATCTAGTTAAAGGAAAGATGCAGGAAAACGCCAGCATCCCTGCACTAAGACTCTGTCGGAAGACCTATTTCCTACCGATACTCTGATCAAGATGGAGCGCTACTTACAGGCGCAGACCTCTGCCCTGACTGTGCCGTCTCCCGGTGTTCTGTGCTTGGCGTTCGGATCCCACCTGCCCCTCGCTCAGCAGCGTGTCCGTCTCTATCACTTACAGGATCATCTCCCCTCTCCTTCCATCCAGGCTCCTTTTATTTTGGCTTTAATCAGCCTCTGCTGACACCTGCGCGCAGAATTTGTGCAGCGCAGTTACTGTGTTCCGTGTTACTGAAACCGCACCCATCAAATGTCGCTTGGGTCTGGTCGTGAACCAGTTTTGCTGTTATGCTTCTGCACCATTGGTCGTGAATTTCTAGGGACACACAGCAGCTCCTGGCAAAGCGCTAGGGGGAGCCTATTCGAGAAATGTGAGAACTTTGGCGGCACTAGCAGGAGTTTTTATCTTCCAAAACAACAAATGCGCGTCTTCAAGATATCACGGTCACAGAGAAGGATCTAGAGTTGCTAGAAATCTAAGTGGAACAGGTGCTGCTAATGTAGTTGGCAAAAAGATTGATTAACCTTTAGTCATAGTTGTCCATTGTAGTTGTTCCTCGGTTTTTAAACACTCAGGCACCGAATAGAGAAGGACGACCACACAGACAGCCAGAAATACATACCAAGGACCAATCACAGCTGCTTTTTCTCTGCGCACTTCCCCTTGAGGTCTGCGCAGGTTGGCGATCTTCTGACACGTAGTCAGGGTTTTTTTGAGGTGCGCAACGGCGGTGGAGAACCTTTACGCGCGGGACGTGGTCACGCATAGAGACAGATTTGACAATTACAGCACAGCAAAAAAAAATATAAATAAAAGAAAAACACAATCATATTTTCCCCTGTTTTCTGAAAGCAGTCGTCCGTAGGATCATAGAGCAGCACAGTAATGCGTTTTCGGTTTTTAATGCATGCCTTTTCATTTATGTATTAATCTTAATAGGTTTATTAATATGATAAAAGTTTGTTAATAATATTGATATTAATATATTTTTTTTAAAAACAACAACAATGTGTTAGGTCTTGTTTCAATAGGCTATGTTCATTTCAATATTTTTTAATTAACATTTAACCAGTCCGGCCCTCCGCTTGTAGCAGATTTGTTTTTTGGCCCTGGGTGTACTTGACTTTGACATCCCTGCCCTATTGGGACCCAACACCAAGTGGAACTAGACTTCAACACTTTAACCTAAATGAGGCAGAGCAATGGAAACAGACATCAGCACTGTGGCTCCTAATTGGAAACAGTGTGGTTTTATTGAACAAAAACACAGAAATTATGATTACAGTAGTTTTTAAGAAACACTGGGATCAGCCCTGCAAGAGGTTATGAACTGCCACATGGGCTGCCAAAAAAAAATGTGTCACATTTTTTTTTTTAATCGTAGGTGTAATAGGAGGTGTGAATAAAACTTAAACTAATTTTTATGCATCTTTCTTATCGTGCCAACTACAGACTGTCCCATTATAAAATCCAATCCTATATAGTATAACAGTCTCAGATGTGTCTTTATAAGCTGCCAACTATCTTTTCATTCTATTACTGCTTTCCTCCTAACAAACCTTAGGTCACCTATCCTTGTAATGCAAGTCAGTGAGGAATTATTAACAAAATGTTATCTGATCCTAACCAGTTCTTAAAATTGTATAATAAAAGCTAATCAAACAGAATATATCACAATATTATCATTATAAAGAAAAAATGGAAGTAAGGAAACATAGAAAATAAATCATTAAGAGACTAAATTAATATAAAGATTAAGGGATAAGGAGTGTGAGTAGATCCAGAAACAACCATTTTTTATTTACTTCACAGCTCAGAACATCTCAAGATAACTTTACACAATTCCAGGGAGGAGAAACATCTACATAACAATGCTTTGTTAATACAAAACTGTCACAGAATCTAATTTGATTATAAATGTCCTTTATCAGGTTCATGGATCACTCCGCTTCTCTATCTACTACGACCAGCTGCAGGCGCGTTTGGTGGTCACAGTTTTGCAGGTGGAGGGGCTGGAGGACAACAGCCAGGCCTTTGGCCTGCAGCCATTTGTGAAGATCCGCCTCATGTGTGCTGGATTGGAGGGAACAGAACTGGAAGGATTAAAAGAACAGGAGGTAATTCTGAAAATGTACTGTCTGTCAATTTCCAACACTATAAACAGACACACGTGACATGTTGTTGTTTTAACTGTGATCTTGTAAGGGTCAAGCAACAGCACCTGTGCTGTGGACAGTGCTGCAGGAGTGGCGCACTCGTGTTGTGAAAGGCAGCTGCAACCCTTTGTATGGAGATCAGTTTAGCTGCATTCTGCCAGAGAAAAAGGACACGCTTCGTCACATCACCCTTAGGATGGAGGTGCTGCAGCACACAAACACTTCTTAATTAACAATATGATTGGACCAAAAAAAAAAATATTCAAAGAATGACAGATGAAGATGACATCCAAACTGATGAAATGAATTCAAATTTACAACTGATTTGTTGCTTATGTGTCTGTATCAGGTGAGGGACTTTGATAAGTTTTCCAGACACACAGTGCTTGGAGAGGTCAGGGTTCCTCTGGGTCAGCTAAACATCTCCTACCCTCTAGAGCTACAAGAAGATCTTCAGATACCACAGAAGGTAAGGTTAATCCAAGCACTTAATCACAGAAAGGCGAGTATGAGGATAAAAAATAAAATTCCCTTATGACCAGTGGGAGAAATTAAATCTGTCTCTGTGCAGGATCTCGTTGGTGAAGTACTGCTGTCATTAAAGTATCTCCCAACCTCACAGAGGCTTGAGATTGGCCTGTTGAAGGTCCGAACAGCCATCACTGAGACATTCTCTGCTACAGGTAATTCTGACACCTAAAACAGAACAGAGATTTCATACACCTCTACTCACTTTATGTGTATGTCTTATACAGCTCTGTATGCCAGGATCAGTATTCAGTACAATCAGAGCAAAATGAGGTATCAGAAGACTTCTGCAGTCCCCCGCAGCCCGGTCACCGTCTTCAATGAGGTCCTCATGTTCACCCTGCCAGACTTCCCTCTGGAGCAGACTAAAATCTTAGTCTGGGTTTACGAGACCCAGGCAACTGGCAAATCCTCCAAATGTCTGCTCGGACAGCTGAGTGTAAAGAAGGACAGACACTCAGAAGACGAGCACTGGACCTTGATGGTACGCTCGGTCCGTCAGCCCGTTGCTAAGTGGCACGGCCTGCTGATCTAAGCTGCGGATCAGATTAAAGCTCAGCCGCTTATGGAGCAGGAACCTGCATATCTAATAGATATGAATACTTTTTCTTTCCATTCCCACATTATTGACCTATGCATGTATTTAGATTTATGACAATGGGAGCACTCAACTGTATGGGATTATTACCTGGATAATCTCAATCATTGTTTGACATTATTATCTGAACAACATAGAAAGTTTAAAAATTTTTATTTTTCATTGCACCTATAATTACATTTTTGGGATGCACTGTGGCACATTGAGTAGCACTGTTGCCTTGCAGCAAGAAAGTTCTGATTCCCAGCTCTGGGGTCTTTCTGCATGGAGTTGCATGTTCTCCCTCTGCATGTGTGGGTTCTCCCTGGGTACTCCGGCTTCCTCCCACAGTCCAAAAACATGATTGTTAGGTTAACTGGCTCCTCTAAATTGTCCTTAGGTGTCAGGTGTGTGCATGGTTGTATGTCTCTGTGTTGCCATGCAACAGACTGGCGATCTGTCCAGGGTGTATAACGCCTTTTTCCCCTAGGTTGCCTGAGATAGGCACTGGCCCCATCGCGACCCTGATGGAATAAGCAGGAGAAAAGGATGGATGGATTTAGTTTCATGAATTCATGTATGTGAATGTCACACATCAGTACCTGTCTAGCTACTCAAAAATATTTTTTTATAGAATATCTTGATGTTTGTATACCTAAGTGAACTTAACTCAGTTGTTGATCAAGGCTTGGTTACTGTATGTTTGAGGAGTTTGCCTTTTCTGCTGTGAATCATGAGTGGTCTTTGCTGCCACCAAGTGGCAACTGTTTGCTATTAATACATTACCTTAAAGGTTTCTGACCATGAAAATAAAACAGCACTGTACCAACTGAATGAAGTCTATCACTGTATCTTTGGAGTTCCTGTTCCTCAGGTTAGTTCCCTGTAGAGATCAACTGCTTTGTAAACCTCCCCGGTATGGCCCCACCCCACTCTCTGGGACAACATGTTCAACCCAATGCTGCAGATTTCACAATGACATCAGCGCCTACAGAATTGAACACCCCCAAATTAGCCTTTCTTGTAGGACCAACAGATGCCAACATTTCATGAGAGTAACCAATTCTACAGAATTGTCCACCTGTATGGTGTCAAATTCCTGCCAAAAACCACAAGAGTGTATTAAGCAATCACAATAGTGAAATAGTTAATCACAACCTTGCATATAGTAATTGAAATAGCGCATAAATGTGATTGCAGGCATGTATGGTTATTTGTGCACTGTTGAACACAGCACCGCATGCAGCAAACCCCCCCCACCGCCTCTACTAAGCGAGGCCGACGTGCCTATAGGGCGGCCATCTTGGGTCAGAGCATAATCAGACTGCTGCTGTCAGAATGAATAGGAGGCACCTCAGATCTCATTTTAATCACATTTAAGACAAGTCAAAG